CAGAAGGACCCTGAATCGTGATCTCCACAAGGCAGGCAGAATGACACAGCTGCTGACAATTTATTCATGCAAGATCCTGGTCCAGACAGCAGCTGAAATCCACAGCAATCCATAATGAATTTGTCACCCTGTGTAACTAGGGGATTCTACATTCAGCATTGTTTTTTACAACAGACACATGAAATTCACCTTTGCAGGAAAAGAACTCTATTCTCCATTGCAGAATCTGTTGTGTAACGGTACATACTGTGTTTGGAGCAGGAAGCTCCAGAAGAGAGAATTCTCAGAGGGAATTTTAAATGAAGATGACAGAAGGGTAAAATAAACTTTAAGATACCTTCTGTATGTTCCCCCACATCAAGTTTCCTTTCAACATTAGAGAGCAGCAATCTTACCACACTGACACACAAGGGTAACCAGATTTTTCCATATGGATATGTACACAGAAGTGTTCTCTACCTCATGTACCTGGACTGTCTTTAAAACATACAACTACAACCAAAGGCAAAACTCCTCAGCTAAACTGCTAACCATCCTCCAGCTTACTGGTGCATTCCAGACCAGCCACAAGTTTGTTTTCAGTGTGTCCTTTCCACAAAACTTGGACAAATTTTGTAGTGTACTGGGAAAGAGGAATGCAAATAAGATGCTATTTATTTCTAGATGGCCAAAGGACTAGCTCTGAACTATTTTATAGCATCCTTTGTATGAAAACATGTAGTTACAAGAGCTGTAAAGTAAGTAAACAAAAAGACAACGTTAAGTGGACTAGACAACAGAACTTGAAATAACTATAATTTATGTTAATGTATATTGCTGGTCTTCCTTAGGGTTTGCTGAAGAATAATTTCAAGAATAGCTTCTTCCTTTCCCTTAGCCTGGGTCTCATTAGTCATGTTGCAAGGCAACAGGTTTCCATGACAGCAAACATTAAGTCTCTTGCAGCACAGCCTGTTATTTCTGCTATAAACACTAAGCTTTCACTACTGTACTTTAACCTAAACCAGCTATCTTCATGAAAAAAATCCCTGAAAAATCCTAATAGACATTTAAATCAACAGCTGTATTTTATTTGTACTATGGTCTCGCTAAGGAACATGCACACTATTGAATTCAGTAGGAATGTCATCAAATTCCCCAGAAGGATGCTTTTACCTGGTCTGAGCTCACAAGTTCTTGGCAGCCATCTAGAACAAAAATATAATGATGTAAGATGATGATGCAGATTCCACGCTCATAAAGGCATCAGACGAAGTTAATGAAAATCCCACCATAGGGATTAACTGCAGAATTGAGACCTTTGGGTTTAGTCATTTTATGCAGGGTGAGAGCAACGTCCCCCTCACACAGGAGCTGTGCTAACAGAAATATTTTCAAATGCATTTTCAGTGGAGTAGAACATCATGGACAGGCACGGATAGGAGTTTTCTCTATGAACTGTATTGAGCCTTGTTATTTTGAGGGGACTGTTGATGGAACCCATCTCTGGCTATCTTTGAAAGCCTCGCTCACACTGTTAAACTCTTGTAATCTTTCCTTATAAACCTATCCCTCCGGACGCCTAATGTACCATTACGGCATGCTGTATTACTCCAATGCAGCACAGTGCTAAGCAAAGGATAAAAAAAATGCATTGTCTATTGAAAGGACTGTAAACTAAATGAAAAAATAGTAATTCATCCTTTCACAAGTACAGCATTACTCTGTCCAGCATAAATTCAGCCACAGAACCATACCTAAACTTTACAATAAGTTTCCCACCTGGATGGGTTTCTGAAAGCACAGGGGTTTTTGAAGGAGCAGCTAGGGGGAGGTGTTGAAGATTCACCTTCAGTGGCTTTTTGTTAAACAAAGGCTGAGAGGAGGTAACCTAAATGTCAATTTTCCTACACTTATTTGTAAGACTCGACACCTTTTAATGAGCCACAACACTCAGACATGCATAATGAAAAAAGAAACAGAAATTATAAGAATTCATGAATCCTGTGAGATCCTGCCACTCTTGCCTCTCACTCATGATGACTTGTCATACTTTTAATATTCCTTTTGATATTATTACACTTATTTTTATTCCAGTCTAATGTCTCTCTCTCTCTTTTTAATTGCCATGATATGTTCAAAGATGTCACAGCTCATGAGTTGCAAATAGTTGCATGACAGGGAACCAGCCCTGTCACAACTGGTAAGCAGTAAGATCACAGTAAGAATCCTCCAGGCAGAGACGCTAATAAGAAAAATCAAGAAGCTTTTTGTTAGGTGCAGCTGGCAAAAGCAAGGAAGGGAATCTAGGCTAGCAACATGACCATGATTAAGGATTATTTTAGTAAATGCAATTTTGCAAACTAGGACATACCTGCTTGAAGCTTGTCAGCAAGGTGAGAGTTTAGATAACCGCAAAAGATGCTAGTGAGGTTGGGAAAACTGTTAAGGAACCTGCTTTCTAGTACTTTTTTTGATGATAATTTCATAAGCAATTTCAGAGAACTTTACATTGAGCATGTCCTAGAATAGTCAGGCAGGTTGGAAAGAGAAACATCAACTGCAAACACAAATGAAATGGGCAACGCTTCAGACAGATTTGTGAATATATACAAAGATATATGTATCTCCTGCTTTAAGAAAAATCAAAGAACTAAGATATCAAGAGAGACATAAATCTTCTGATGAGCTATACTCCACAGTGCACTAAACTATGTAGAGTCCTGTTGACGGCAATGGAGTTCCATAAAGATGGATGCACAGGCATTTTGACACAGTGACCTAAAGGCAACCTGACAATAACTGGGTTTCATTCGGGCTTTTTCCCTTTGGAGAAAGAGTTGGGTTGAGCTGAACGCCATTATAACACCACTTAGGTGAGTGACCTCTTTCTCATTCAAGGTTGCAAAAAGTATAAATACAAGTTTTACGTTTCAAACCAGTCTGTTCTTAAGGATGGTATACATACAGACCGACACTTGCAAAACTCACATTAAGTAACCCTCACCTGCCTACTTTGTGTAGACTATCTATAGGTGAAAGCAACAGGAATCTGTAAATGTTTTTTAGAGCAGGAATATAATTTAGCAGTTCTTTAGAGTGCTTAACACATACTTTCCATGCAACTTTGTAGCACAAAGGCAGCTGGCACAACAGGCACACCAGGTTCCAAAGACCTTCTGCACTAGGACAAGGAAACCATACTAATTCCTTCACACTTCTCAAGTTGACACCAGATACATCAGTTTGGCAATGCTATTTATTTCAGATGCTATATTGATATGGCTGGTGTAAGTACTCCTAGCTAATGTATTCTTTTTTTCCATAAGGAATTCTTCTTCATTTGAAGTGAGAGAGAAAAGAGTCCTACAGCTCTTAGAATGACTGAAAAAGACAGGCTTATGATATCCTTATTCACACCAAAAAAATCTTTCTGGAACTCCTATTTTGATATACTCCAGAATTCAAGCAACATTACAGTTGTAAGAGTCAGAGAATCACAGCGTGGCTCCAAAAAAGAGTAAAAGCAAACGAAACTACTGATGATTTCACTGAATAGAAGTCACTTATAAAAGGAAAGAGCAGAAAGAGCCTCTTTGCACATTCTGAAGTGGCTTCTTAATCAATTAAACACTCTACTTTAAAAAACTTCTTTTCAAACCTTGAGAAAATAATATACAACTGATACAATTTCATTAATTTACTATTAAATTGAATGTCTTCAGAGCTATTAAAAGCCCTTCAGCAATTTCACTGTTTTTTCAATGCTGAAAGTATGCCTTTGACATCAATACAGAGAAAACAGATGGTTAAAGTAATTATAAAAAGAGCAACATGACACTATGAACCAGCTTATCACAGTTTTACCAACAGACTAGATAACAGGCAGAAAAGGGGGTTGACAATTAGCAAAGTTGTCATGTTGTGTCAAAGTGCTCCCACCCTCCAAAAAACTCCCCAAACCCATCCCCAGGAAGATACAAAAGGCTGGGAAGGAAGGAACAATGAAAAAATTAGAATAAGCACGCAGGACATTTAAAGATTAGAAAAATCCCTGAAGGAAAATGCTGACTGTACATCCCAGCAATCAAAGAAAATAGATGTTGAAAGGAAATGCAAATCAATGCTCGGATCATTCTGGCATATTTGTCTGATAACTTACCTAATTTTTGTATAGGATAATTTCATGCTTTGACAGAAACAAAACATCTAGCTATGAGTTATGGGCTAAGATAAATAGAATTTCTCTGAGCTTTGAATTCTGTTAAAGGAGGAAATAATCTCTCTAAGGAAGCCAGTTCAATCAATTTAGAGTCCAAATTGCACTGAGAGAAAGACAGGCAAGCTAAAACACCTGGCTCTCCACACACGGCTACGATGTTTTATAATGCACAGTAAGATGCACAGCCCAGCTCATTCTTCTCCTCTACTGTTTTACCCCTTTTCCCTTTGTGCAGCTTGCAAAGTTATAAAACACTGAACGAATTGTCCAACCTTCACAAAAATGGGCCATGTTCAACTACTAGAAAGCTGATCATCCCCATAGGTGTATGAATTTGGGACTGGAAAACTCCACTGGAAAAGATGGTTATTGGTGGATACCAAAAGATATACAAGATGATCTTCACCCTAAAATCCCAAAGACTAATTTCTTCTCTTCAGGATATCTCCTGCTCTCAAGCTGCACGCTTCCAAAGATTGTAGTCTTTGTCCAGGTCCAGGGGATCTAGGAAGGGGATAGGAAAATGAGGCAAAAGACAGAAACAGGCCATCCGCATGCAGCAGCAAAAAGGATTCATTAAACCTGGGAGAAGCCTACCTCGAGACAGAACACTCTTCCAGATTAAATGGAGGTGAGGAGTGTGCTCTAGTAGCAGTTGGAGCAGCCTTATTAGCAGACTAGAGCAGAAAATAGAAGGAAGATAGTGAAAGAAAGGGGTTGGTCCAAAGAGAAGAGTATTTCTTATACTAGATGGGTTAATCTTTTCAAACAAGCTTGTGAAATCAGGGCCCACAACAATTTGTCTTTTAGAAAAAAAATATTATTAGACCAGAATAATTGTTACATTCAAAATAATGGACATTTGTACAAAAGTAGAGTCATACGGTCAGCAGTGGACCAAAATTAGTAAAAATACATCTACAAAGTACTGTCAGAGTAACATTTTATGAAGACAAAACCCGTAGCTAAAAGATACGGTACAAAACAAGTGTTTAGTCCAGCAAGGAGAAGAGAAACTAGATCAAGGGTAATAACAACTCTGAGAAACTCATATGCAGAGTAATGCAAGTACAGAATTGTTAAACCCTGTGCTACATTAGCTGACCTTCATCTTCACCATTATACAAACAAATCCCTTTAGTTACTGGTTTTTGGTACTTTTCTGAAGATCTGGCACACTGGGAAGCAATTTCAGGAAGTACATTTTACAGGTGCATACAGCAGTTCTCCAGGTAGTTTTAACATTAAAATGCAGGCTTGTTCATGTACTCTTCCACTGTCTGGGGAAAAAAAAAAAAAAGGAAAAAAAAAAAGAAACAAACAGCTGATGCATTATGGAGTGGTACAGTAACATTCAAACAAACCCCCTTGTCCTCTTTGAAGACAGTTGTAGTTTTGCATGGAATAAGATCAGATTAATTAAAATCTAGAAGTAATTCTCCTTTAAAAACCTTTAACAGCATTTTAGAATCTGATTTTCAAATCACAACATACCATGGTTGTGGCTAAACTCATCATGTCTAGCTGGCCTTGGTATATAGCTGGCTTAGTTTCATGTGCCAGACCCCTGTGAAAAAACTGTTTGACTTGCATAGTATGTCCCTAGCTAGCTCTACCAGCGTGCTGTTTCCTTCAGTATTACAATGCACCCTTCGCTACCTAGGAAAAAATGAAGTAAATCCATCACATTCAACTGCTTTTGACATTCCCGGCTCAACAGTACAAGTTAGGGAAGAGAATTCCTGCATGGTTCTGAATAAAGGTTAGATATCTGTGCCCTGTAGAAAAACTACACAGGTGTTTATGTATGAAAGTGGAGTTTGCCAGCACATATTCTTTCCAATTTTAAATGTTAATAGTAGGTCATCCGTTTCCAATGGATTAGTGAAACAGAACAGATTTTTCTGTATTTATATATACATATGTATACATAAAATATAATCTTAGATTATGTTCTTATATCATATAAATATCTTAAGATATGCCTTAAACTATTTCTTAATATAATATCTGAGAAACTCTAGCAGTTAAACCACAAGAGAGCAACAGCAGCATATGAAGAGCCTCCAGATGATTCTGCAAGGGGGTTGAATTGAAAGCTTATGTAACTGCTACCTTAACTGCACTGTTGTACCTACTGAAACTGAATGTAAGACACATTTGGATAATTAAGTACCAGAAGTGCTTAGCTGTATTTTAAGCTCCTGTCAAACAAGGAAGATGTAGGAAGATGAAGTGTTTGCCTTTTGTCTTCCTCTGCCTTACCTCCTGCAACATGTCAGAGTCTTCTATGGCTTTCACTGCAGACCTCTTTGAAGTTTCTTGTACTTCTCCACCAATTATAAACTCATCAAGAATAAAATAAGCTTTTTCAAAATTAAAGATAATATCCAGCTCGCACACCTGCCAGAATAAAAGGACACCCCACATTTAAATCACTTTTACAGCGTTATAAGCACTACTGGGCCAAAAGTTGTTAAGATGATCAAATGTATTCAACATACGCACTCTCGTGGCAGGTAGCAGGATGAAGAAAGATACTTTATATTATGTAATATTGCAGCTTCTGCACATATTCTCTTCACATATATAGCCTAGGCTTACAGCAAAGATATTCCACTTATTATATTTTATATAATACACTACATTCATACTGCTTTTCAGAGAACAAAGCTGACTTCCTAGCCTACTAACCTTGTAATAGGTCTTATATAGCACTTGTAATATGGGTTACATACATTCATGCACAGTTTCACAGAGCAAGAGAAATTCCCTGTCCTAGTGACCTTACAGCCACCAACCGCTTTTTTGTTTTGAGGCAGTACCAACATGAGTCATGGCACCATGATTTAAATAAGAGATAAATTAAGGTAGTGGAACAATTTCAAAAATATTCATAGAAAAGATGGGTCTCTTGTAGTCTTTAAAGACTTACTGAAAGACTTATTTGGTCTTTTCTTTAAAAAAACACCCACTTTATCTCTTTCCTCTTCATATGTCCTTAATTGTTACACATTATTATGAAACAAACAAAATCAGTATATCTGAAGATGTCAGGACAGAGAATTACAGTCACGCAGCATTTTTTTAAGTAGTTTTCCTCAAGCTTTCTCCTCAAATTCTATGCCAAGACAGATATACAATGCATCAAGATTAATTTGGGGGGAGGAAGCATAGAAAAACAATCTTATGATAGTTTCAGCACTATTTTATAAAATATTCTAATAATGAATTTCGCTCTGGATTGAGAAAGTCTACAGGGCAAGTAGTGCCTATGGAAACACAAAGCAAAACAGTTTATCTGTTTATCAGACAGCCAGGAATGCGGTTCATGGGAGAAAGTGAAACCTACATTTCCAAAGTATCTGTCCAGAAGCTCTACATATCGATGAACGACCTCTAGTGTCAGGAGCTCATTATCCTGGTCTTCTATTGCACAACAAAAATACAAACTGGCATACCTAGGCAAACAAAGGCAAAAATGTGAGAGTGAACAGTGGGATCCTCAGTGCTCTGCTCATCTTTTAGAAGTTAAGCAAATGACAGTTAACGTCTGTTTGGTCTCTAAAATAATATTCCTTCATTCTTATAGTGTCCCGGAAAACACTTTAAAAGATCAGATAATTTAAACAACTTATTAATTTAGTTAGAAGAACAAACTCCACCCTTGGCAAAATGGGATACCTCCAACACTGGTCTTAAAATAAACAGTAAATCAGTAATACTTTAAGGTCTCCCTCACCCACTGTAATAGCACTACAGTAAGTGGGGTCAATTAAACTGTAGGATGAGTTACTGCTCTTTATTAAAAAATAAAAATAAAGGTGGAGAGAGGCACATCTCAGCAAGCCTGCTGGCTATCAAATGACTGACAGTGTTTTACATGGGGCCAGAAAGCATGAAGCTGTTTAGACTGAACAATCTTCATCACTAACTTGCAGCAAAACTTTATGTTTAAATCAACCCAAGATGGGAGTAACAATCTGCATGAAACTCCTTGGTGCTGTGGCTGGAGGCCCAGCTTGTCACAGCATCTGGTCAGATGTTTACATCCATCACTTCACAGCATGGAACTCAATTTTTGCTAAATGGGAGATGCTGCTTAATTTGTACAGTGTGCTATAACTTAAGGCTACTTTTGTTTGCTACAACTTTACAAGAATTAACAGGCAGTTAATGCTAAGCATGGTGTAACTGGGGACCAGGGATTTGTTTGGAAAAGGAAATGGGAAGTAACACTTTCCAGAGCAACAAAATATTTAAAAGACGAAATTTGACAAAATGTTGAAAGTGCCTCAGAACAGCTCCTGCAACCTCCCAGAGAGCCTGATAAAGCTCAGCACGTGTCTCAGCAGGCTACCTTGGGGAATTAGAAGAAGCAGAGAAGCCTAAAGCCTTCTAACAGAATTTCCACCACTAACACTTACTAGGTTACTCCCATTTTTCGCATTTGACAGATTGTACAAGTATTTTTCGGCCCACAATTTACCCTACTGATTTATCCAGGGACATGGTGCTGTTATACACAGATTGCCAATGGCAGGCTCCTACTAGCTTAGTTTAGCACTTAGGGTTTTGTTTGCTGTTTTTCTTAAAGTGAGCCTTTATTTTTCCTCTTCTAGCATGTGTTATTTATATGAATAGTAATTATATGTTCTCATAAAATTACTCACACCTTTTGTAAACAAGCTTGAGATCTTTCCAGTCAACAAAACTACTTGTTTTTTGATTGCGAGACAAAATAATCTGAACAATTTCTCGAACGATCTTTTTCTTCTCTTTATCAGGTAGCGTCGTATACCATTTCTGAAGCCTTAATTTCCCCTGCCGACTGAAGAGCAGTATAAAGTGTATCTAGAGTAAACAAAGCAACATAGTTAATGCCAGGGCCACAGCTAGAGAAGAGCATTCCTCCGCTTAATGCCGGAAAAGTGTGAGATCTTAGTGAAGGCACCTCCAGCCCTGATGTGAAGTTTGGACGGGGCATCAGCGAGGTCTGGGGGAGGTTGAGCGTGGAAGGAGAAATCCCTCCCCTCTCCTGTTTCTTCCCCCGGCAGCTCTCCCCTCCCTGTGGGACCTCTCCCCTAGGCATCCCCTTTGCATCCTCTCCCACCCGTCCTCCCTTACCTTGTGCAGACAGCAGCTTTGCTTCCTATTCCGCCACCTCCCTGGGAACAGGCGGAGCATCACCACTTTGCAGTGGTGAGAAGAGGGTCCCAGCCCCTCCTCCAGCAAGATTAGACATCTTAGTGAAAGGAATAAAGACTTGTATACAACAGGGCTAGGCAGATCAAGGATGCAGTGTGGCACAAGACTAGAAATATGAATACCTAGATAGTAAACAAAATCATCAACAATTCTGGTATAGTGCTATTTCAGGTCACAAACAAAGCAGCATGTTCCTAGAAGAGGCTGTAACGAGCAGAAGAAACCAACTACTTTGGAAAGGGAGCTTGACTAGTTTTACTACAGAAATCACCAGATTATGAAAGATGACCGTGATGACAAAGGACAGAGCTCAGTGACCAAGGATATTATGGTAAATAAAGCATGATACGTACACTGTTCTAAATTTCAGTTTTAAAGCTAGCCATAATTTTACATGGTTTTACCCATGATTTTTTCATGCTTAGCATTAGCAGTATTATTGAAATACAGAAGTGCTAGCTTTTAAATGCCAGTGAGACTTTGGGAGAAAAGTATCAATTCACATTTATACAAATACCTTTATTAGCAGATTAAAATAACTGACCATACTAAGTCTTTAAGAAGTACAATAAGTCATCTACCCACAGCATAGACATGGCTTTAAGAATGCAGGAAATCTATCTGAGGATGACATGATGTCCTCTGCTAAATGAAGGAAAAAAAAAAAACCTGAACAAACTAGCAGCGATAAGAGATGCTTCCAATGGCTGAAGACACTGTGAACTGCCCTGTTCTTGACAGGTATCCCCATTGCTTTTCTCACCAGTACCAATGCTTGAAGGCCAGGGACTTGCGGGAAGGATGTTTAACCATAGTCACAGCCACGTGCACGATGACGGGCACACTGCCACTTGCCTGTGCAGAGATGAGGCTTCCCCTGATGCTGGGAGGACCAGGGAGAAGCACAGGAGCCTCATTTTCCTCAGTTGCTCCCAATCCTTGCAAACTCCAAATAGAAGAGCTGGCAGGTCCCTTGCCACATCCCCATTCCCATTAGTTTAGCCTTACGCTTCCCTACAGCTTCTCAGTCTACACCCTAATCCCTTCCCCCTCTTGTTTTCTATTCCAACTTATTGCTGTACCTATACTTCCCCATCACTCCATCTCCCCAGTGAGGATTAAAGTTAATGTTCACAATTACTAACAAGATTACAATGCAGATTTCTGTAAAGATAAAATCATTCTACGCTCTGGTGAAGTCCAAGCAGAGAAGTACACCAGAGAAGTTTCTATGTAAAAGGCAGAAAAAAGAAAAAAAAAAAAAGCTACTGGGTTTTAAACAAAGCCTTCATTCATAATTCAGAACCATTCTCTAGCTATTAAGTCACATAGTTGTTGAGTAGTCCGGAGATGAGAGTTCTGAATATATTGAGAAAGACTTCAAATGTGGAATCATTTTAGGGAAAGGTGGACTTTTATTCATATGTGCCAATGGCAGGATCTACTGCTGGAAATATGGCTCTTGCCGTCATTAGTCTAATGTGCTTGATAAAATTACAAGGATTTTGTAGCTGCCTTGTGTTGAGTCCTGTAATACTCTCCAGATGAGCCTGCTAAATAAAAACAATTATGCTGCTGGCAGTACACATGGCCTGATTACAGTGAAGATCAAAGTACCATGTTCTTGTCTTTGTTTGTATTACCAACTGGGTTTTGACATGGTAATATTCCAGCTGTCAGGGTTACCCCTTCCCAGTAGATGAAAGGACAGTATTTACTGTCCATACACTTGTCTACTGGGATGAGCTGGATGAATGAAAGACTATTTTGCACAGCACATTAACTCCAAAGCCTTTGTAAAGATGAGTGCATTTTGAAAAACAGAGTGTAAGTTCTGCAGATAAGAGCAGCAGGTCAGTGGGCGTCCATTCAAAAGCAATCAGGCACAGGTAGCAGCTATTTGATAAACAAATTTCTAAAAACATGGTGAATCAGACAGGAGAGGATGATCAGATTTGGCTGAAAATGCAGGGAATTAGTCAATGAATCCCTATCAAAAGCTGACAGCATGTTCAGCATAACAAGATCGTGCTGTTTGAGACATCCGCAGGAAGAAATATATTTGCCTGCAGTGCTTCAATAGGGCAAGATAATGAAAGGGTATTCTGGTTTAGGTTCAGCTGTTGGACCCAACAGACCTTAAATCTAAGTGCCTGCAAGTAACACATATATCTCCAGGAGATATATGTATATGACCTTATGCCTCTAAAAGTTTAAATACCAACAAGCCAGGGAATTACTGTGAATATTACCACCATTTTCTGACCAGTTTACTTCAGCATGTTACGTTTCACCCACAGGAAAGTGAGCTGCTCTCCATTTAAAATTGCTTTGAAAACTCCACTGTTTCATATAAAGATGCAGTTGATGTTTCACCACCACTTTCATGAGCAGAGGCAACAATCTTTGTAATCAGAAAATACCCATTAACGCTCTTAAACACATCAAGATTCATACACAACCTTCAGAAATTCTACCTTTTGGGTCTCCCATCCCACACTGTTTCATAAGCAGAATATAACTGCATAGCTTATAAGGCAATTTTACTATTATAGAAGTATATACAGCTAGAAAATAGATAACAGCCTCTGCTGTAGTCCTTTTCTAATTTTACAGCCTGTGGCAAAATAGTGTACTCTCAAGCCTAGGTACATATTCCTGGGCAGCTGAGAGCTCCTGTAACAAAACAACGTATTAGAAAGTTGCAGATACTTAGAAAATATTGGGGGGGGGTGTTCCTCTTTTGACTCTTCTTCCTTTTTCTAATTTCTAAAATCCATTCAATCTGGGCAAGTCTTTAGGAGGTAAGTAATATTACATTCTCAAGAGGTTAAAAATGGCTTAATTCCTGTAAGCGTAAGTATCCAGTTGCTATAGATGTTGTTTCATTCAGTTCAGCTTTGCTCTGCCCAGCCACACTGACACGATACAACACATTCCTCACTCTCATAGCTCTGTTCATTACAGCTCACTGGGAAGATTCTGATGCATCAATAAACCTGGAAATGTTGACGTACTGAACAAACACAAATCTAACGGCTCATCTGTTCCTTGCTCCTTGACTGTGAAAACATATTTGCTTTCCTATAGTGCTAATGACAAGATGGATGTTGATTAAGGAATTTTTGGTTGGTTTTCAGCAGCCAAACTACAAATAGAGGTAGATTATCCTGCAATGTTTTACTCAGCTTTAAAAGTGCTAATTCCAGAGGAAAACAAAGGCAAATTACTTGCTTCAAGCAAAATACCTTTAAAGCAGGGTGCTTGGTTTCCTTTCCTACTGTTCTAGAGCATGCTGGCTGTGACTAACCATCACCAGACCCAGGGGCGACACCAGAGAGAATTTTTAGGTCCAAGCCTGAGTGGGTCGGGATGAGGCGTGCAGTTCCTATGGGAGCATCGGCTGCCATCACATGTGGAGTCTGTAGGAGACAAGCTTTGGTCTGGGAGCTGAGTGTAATTTTATTAGCTTGTTTTACTGAATCAGACCCAACCACCTACAGCACTGTGCAAAATGATCTCCATAAACATCAGTAAGCAGCCTAAATGACTGCATTTTATATTTGTAGGCCATTATTTTCTAATTGCAAAAACGTGTTTTTGTTTTTTTAAATCAAGCATTTAAACCAGATTTCTAAACCTGAACTCTGTCCCCTTCTCATGCACCTCTGAATCAATTGCAGCTGTAAGTTACATAACAGGTTGGAAAGTTATGGGGCCTTCTCTTTTATGGAGATCTACAAAACTGTACCAGGATAACAACCACCACCCTTAGTTTCAGGGCTACAAAAAATCAAATGGTAGACTTTGACACGAAATAATTTAACAGGAAATAGAACAGACATCGAAAATGCAAAACACAGAAGGTTTACATGTACACAAACAGCAAACGTAAGAAAAATATGTAAAACTAACACACACTGTGACTTTTTTCCACCTTCCTTGGGAGACCTTTCCCTCCTTTTGCTAATGGGCTGTCATGATCTGACAAGCAGCTCTCCCAGGCTTGTCTCCTGGGCTGTCCCCTGAAGGTCCCCTTTGGTGCAGCTTTCTCCAGTATGTGGCCATTTGACACTCCAGACTGATGAAACGCTTTACAGTTGGCTCACTGGTTTCAAACTCGCATCATTTGTTGCTTTTACAGAGGTTTTAAAACTTAACCTAATCTGTACTGCAATGTTTAGTACAACTGTCTAAAGGACTCCAGACTATATTCTATTAGACACAGAACAAACCACCTGTAGGGATATCAAAAGATGACTACATGGGAAGACAAAGCGGCTTTCCTGACTCCCAGGGTCATTTCTGCAGTTTACTGTCCAATGACATAAACACGTAAAAGATGTCACATTTCTTCCGGTGAGGTGAACTCCAGGGGTCAATGCAGTGAGGCTCTAATCCTCCCCACTGTTGAGAAAGAAGAACGTGCGCTAGAAAAGCTTCTCCTCCTCCTGTAATTCAACCTGCATAACATTTGCTGACTGGCTTCAAACCTGTTTTCTGGCATCTGGCTGCTCCAGGTCCCTTGATGGGAGAGGAGGACTGGGAAATGGGAGGACTCCAAGGAGCCTAAGGGAATGGAAGGCAGAATAGCAGTTGCTGGCTGGAAGACTGCGAAAAGCAAGCATCCTTCTCTTTGCTGGGTG